GCTTGCTCTCCAGTTTTGTGTTGCTAAGCGGTATCCAAGCACGTGACCACTAGCTGCAAAGGGCCTATTCCTTGGAATCAGTCACCAAGTCATTTTAGATTTTCAAAAAAAATGATGCGTTGATGGCCGAAGCTGAGCGATCGTGTTCGTATGATAATTTGCATTAACCCCAGATGATTGACGGTTCGGAAAATCCAATCAGGGTTTTTCGAAACGGCGGGTCGCGATGCAACGATTTTCGCTGTATTAGCCAGAAAAAAGCTATATATATTGTAGATCCCCTTATGAACAAGATGTGTTGTCAAAGTGATAGGCCGACAAGCCGGTCGATAGCCGCGGGCTCATTTACAATTGACTTAATTCACTATGACGTCACTGCTTGTATATGTGGGGGATAGAATCACCAAATCCAATAGAAAATTCAACAAAATTTGCTCCTAGCGAAACAGTTTAATCTAAAATGGCCTGGTTTTCAGATATAATATGTGTTAATATGTACTAAAAATATTCTGAGCGTTTGCTGGCTATTCTACTTCACTTCGTGGATTGATACGGGTTTTAGAACAATGTTCGGTTGGTTTGCGTTGATTTGACCCCGTCCGACGACCATGATCCTTTTTAAACAATAGATTGTTGAAGATTGTTTTGATATGACGTCATAGTGAAGTAGGGCAATTGATCAGGCAGGAAGTTAACAAAATGGAGAAGAACTTAAAAATGAAATTTGTGCGAATGTTTTCTGGAAGGTAAGGAAAATCTAGCTCTAAAAGGGCATAAAATAAAATATTTTAAACATGCAAAATATTGATACAATGCATAGTTACCTATTTTAGTTATTTCTATTTATTTCATCCTGTTTTTATGAGATTATAACCTCATGTTCGGTAAACTTTGTGTATCGCTGTGTTAAATGTGTTCAAACGCCGTGAAGGTCAAATATAAATCATTCCTGAAATCATCCCTGAGATCTTTACTTGTGACGTATGACGTATTTTGCATTTTTATCTTGCATGAATTAATCATGCCCTCTGTTTAATATAACGATCATATGTATTGCTGGGACGAGCTTGTTAAGAATATTTTGAAATGATGTTCTAAGAAGTTCTTTCGATATGAATTCCAAGATCTCAGAAGATGAAAATTTGGAAAGACTTCGTCAATCACGCAAACTTGGTTTGTGCCAAAAGCTATCAAATCAGTATAAGGCTTGCTACCTCGAAGGACTAACTCCGTTTGATAGGTAACTTATTATTTGCGTCTGATATAGATTCATATAAAGTGTTTTAATATATGGGGAATGTTTTTAATTCGTGAGATGTCTGCGGTGTGGTGTCTATTAATGAATTTGTATCAATCGCAAAATAACTTTAATTCGATACACTGACAATTAGATGTCTTGCAACCTCTAGAAATCAGCTCAGACTTGTGTGTTAATGTCTTTATTCGATTGCATGACTTATTAAGCTAATTCGAATCCAAATGACTTCAGAACTGCCAAACAATATTAATTGATCGTTACGTGCATTTAGGTTTTTTAAAGCATCTAAAAATATGAGCTCAAAATTGATTTTTTTAAAACCCTTTAATAGATGTTTTAATTGCTATAGACTAGAAGAGCATTATGACTTCAATATCAATGACGTATTATAAACAAAGAGAGCAATTGATCTCATACTGTGAAAGCAGATGGCTTTGCATTTTGATTAATACTGCAGTTTCAGTCTTTATTTATTTAAAAAAATAACCTGCATAAAAGGCGCAACCTCACATTCGGCATAAATATGGCAAGTTGATATGTAATTATTTGGATAATTAGATGCTCAAATATAACATTGTTTAGTATTTCTTTGTGTTCAAATTCAATACAATAGAATTTTACTAGCCATTATTTAGTCAGAGAGGGTGAGAGAGGAGAAAATTATTTACTCTTTTGTTTGGAGGATGATAGAAGTAGACAGTAAATTCATGTTGCTGATACAAGTAGACAGAGCCCTGATAGGATATAGATAGGATATACGGGAGCTAAGAAGAAGAATGATCAAGATATCATTTTCTGACTGCCGGTGGTAAGGTTTAATTGCTCTAAAAAGAAAATACTAAAGAATTATGTAAAATAGAGACCCCACTAAATCGCACTACTCATGCAGTCTTGTTAAATATCTTTTTTTTTTTGTGAGTGTGTGTGTGTGTTTTATTCTTGTTTTATTACTGTCATTGTAATCATATTTATTATTATTATTATTATTGTACTCTAACCAACAACACTCAAGCTAATGTCAACTAATCGGATCATGAATCGAAAACAATAGAATTCAAGTTAAATTTATTGAACGTCTAGCTTATGAAAGCTATTCAGGAAGATGAAATGATAAAAGAGAAAGAAAAAGTAAAAGTACATTTATGCAAATAAAAATAATAAACTCAAGTGTTCACAGTTAGGGTAGAATGACAGTAATATATTATAATCTTTTCATTTAGGTCCCAGAAGTTTGATGGTGGCTTTTTTGAAAAGTTCATTTCAATTGATTGGAAAGAACTAGGAGAAGGCGATGGTAAAAATGCAGTCGATAGTACACAGATTGAGGTAAAAATAGCTCTATCTCCACACTTGTATAAACTTTACAAAAAGTTGTATTACGAAGGTGTATTTTTTACTAGGGGAAG